CCACTGTACAACACTGTACCTACTTTTCACTATTTATGTTATGAGTCCCATGTAATAGTATATAATAAAGAAAGGAGATTTACTTTAACAAAATTATATGAACACACAGCCCTAGTTTTCTACAATTACAATTTCAAAATAAAAAAGAAACATAAAAGTAAACTTGAGTGTTATTTTCTAAAAATTTTTTTATTGCGAATTAAGAAGTTGGAAAAACAATTCCGGCCATCCTGAATATAACAGAGTTTACCCCAGTCTCCACGTATTCCAGGTAGATTGGAGATTGATAGATAGATGGAAAAACCAAAGGTATTTAAAAAACATTCTTCTATCTATTTGCAATAATCGTCTCGTCTACCAACACCCACCAACGTAGAGGTGCAGTACAAAGAATGTATCAGCTGTGCACACTACAGTACTACTTATTATTAGATCACGACTTTGATGTATGTGTGTCGCTAAAAAGCTCACCTGTCGTTTGAAAAAATGTCGCAATGTAAAAAGTTTACAAGGAATGTTGATGGTGAAACTAAATAGATTTCTGGTACTTTTTTCAACCAGGTGTGGATTGGTGTATGCGGATTTTTTTGGTTGAAATTTCATACCACTGAGGACTCAATAAAGTTTTCTCTAATGTATAGCTAATTACTTACGATAAAAATCCTAATTATTGCACCTAAAAAGCAAAACTAAACATTCGCGAATACAACATAGTTGAACGACACAGCGCAGCAATAGAGCGAACATACTCTAAACCGTGAGCATCTAAAAATAAATCAGTAAATACTGTTAACCACAGTAAAAGTCCGAGCACTCTAAAAACCTCTCCCCTACAGTTAAACTTAAAGTTGTGAACAACAGTTTCGCTGTCACACATTACCATAACAAGTACTTGGAATGTACAAAGTTATTTTGAACGTCGCCGGGCGCCGCACCGAAATCGGTTTGCGTTCCATTTCGAACGGCATGAGATAGAGAGCAGATTCTAACAGCCGACCATCGCCGTAATGATTATACGGCGCACACCTGTTACCACAAATAGACGCGGCCAATGCACCCGATGCACTTGCATCATACCCCTAATCCTACACAACCCAATACTGTTCTATCCGCTTGCACACCATCCACTGCTGGCTTTACTTAGCATCTTTAAAAAGTACTTCTTAAAGAAACGTCAATGATCATCAAAATTAGCGATGGAAACGTGTATTCAAAAGCGATTAATGATCGACTAGTAGCAGTATTGGTATGCAATTGAGCGAATCAATGAATGGCGATAGTGACAGTTCCCTACCGTGATCCAAATATAATCTGTTTGTTGTCGTTGTACAATTAAACTTGACTAATGAACTTCGAGGCACAATGACAATAGCGGGCGAAGGATTCTTGATACAATGTTTCGGCTCGAAGTAGTTTTGGCATCAAATAGTTCATACTACCTAAGTAACTTGGTACATTGGGCAGATTAAGAGATTCCTCTTGATATTAACTCGTAAGACTATTATATAATTCATTAATATAGAAAACATTTTTCCGCCTATTTCATCAGCTGTAGTCATACCAAACCGCTACAGCCTACTACGGCTTTGTCGTAGTCTCACTGACTACGGCGTAGCACCTCTACAGCCTACTACGGCGTAGTCGAGTTACAGCCTACTACGAAGTAATGCTTTCTACTGCTATTAACTATGTATTGGTTATGTATGAAACGTAAGAGACCTTTATGAAAACGAAAAGATTAAGGAAATCCGGATCATTCGTTTCAAAGGACCAAATTATATTTTTGGTCCTTTTGGTCCATCTTTGCTTAATAGTTTTGAAATCTGAATCTGGATACAAGTAGCTAATAAGACTTTAATTTCGTAAATCACTCAATACCTTTTCTACGAGACAGCCTTAAAAGTCTAATACAATATATTATCAATCTGCAGAACTTGCCCAAAAAACCACATACTTTACGTCTCATCACCGCCTAAAGTCCCCTATTCATTATGTATGCGTCCTATTCACACCTGTAACATTAATCGAGCGACCACGGAGTATTCAAACGAGTGATCAATTAGTCGTACATAGTTTCAGTAAATCAATTACATAGTACCTGAATACCGGTTGACGACGAGGTAAAGGTATTTTGTGAAATTTCGCGTGGATTGCGTTTGTTACGTACAAATAATTTATTGGTGAATTTTGATACAGATTTATTGTATTACGTTGGTTTGTTTTTATATAGGATTTGTTGGGAGTGTTTTTATTTTATTTTCATAACTGGTTTTTGTAGATTTTCGATATGAGTAAATATTTATCCTGTGTTATTGTTCTTATTAGACTGTAAGGCGCCTCGTGTACTAGTAAAAAATGGGGTATTTTTAAATGCAAAAGGTTGCTTACAGTACAATAGATGAATTGAATGTGTTCTGTAATGTCTCTTACATGCACGTCGTATCTCTCTCTAGTATACACGAAGATTACAATAAGGCATATTTAGAAGAACATTATTATAATGAACACTAGCTTCTAACAACAATAGTAATAGTTCCCATAAGATTTTCATGATTTTTTTTCTATTAAAGAACCTTCTCCTGACAATAACAAACACAACAAAAAAAAAAAATCAGACACTCGGTCCAGCCGTTTTCAAGTTATAACAACGGGAAACGGGTTTCATTTTTATATATAGGAACATGATGACAAACAGATTGAGTGGTGGATATTAAGGATTAATTGAAATAAATACTTTGACTTTAGCTTTTGATTCTAAACAATGAAAAGAAGATGGACACTATGGACATCTCTGCCAGCCTGTTAGGAATATAACAAAATTTTTAAAATTAGAAGAAATTGTGTTATGGTCCTATCCATGCATGTGCATAGAATGCTATTAATTTGATGTAGATATTTACATATACCTAGAATTTAATGCCACAGCTGCAAGACACATTGTATGATGTGCTCTTCCTATTCATGAGAATATACGACCAAAGCACTCATTCTAATAAACTAATGCAGATAAATGACATATAATTTAGTAGGTGCTAATTAACAACATAGATTGCTAATTTTATTATGAACATTATTTTAATTATTACGTAATTGTATTTCATTGCACAATATAATAGGGTAGATACCTAATTTTTATTTTAATCTCCGTCTGGTAGATTATTTTAAATCATTAGACACGTATTTTTTTATTTTCTTAGAGAAACGAATACTTTAGACCATAATTATATTGATTTGAAATGTAACGTGACGTCACTTCTATGGACATTTTATACGTAAAAATGAAGTTTTAGATCTCACTCCTAAACTTTGATTCGTTTTATCTAAGTATTATTTCATTATACGACAAAATAAAAAAATACGTGTCTAATATTGTTTCACTACCTAAATGGCGGACTAATTAGATTTTTAATTTTCATACCCCGTCATCATTCCAATTATTTTGTTGCTCCATTACTTTAGATCCTCAATATTGTTTTTTACATTGAAATTGATTTAAAAACTGTTCAGTTAACTCGCTTTTTCGAAAGTATTATTACATGCTGCTTACTATCTCGATATGATCAGCATCCAATCGATAGAAAATCCTATTTCGGAGCCGATGAATCCGCAGATGGAAAGCTAGTAGCTAGTAAATTAAAATTGTAAATCATATTATAACTGCATGGAAATTAGGTAAAGACTTCTTCACAAACATCGTTGTGAAGGAATTAGCAACGGTCTCTTCATTTGCTTAGGATGAATTGGCGAATTATGTCTTACTACTATGTAACTAGCAAATTGTATTGTGAATCTGATTTAAAAAGAGTAACCTATGGAGTTTCTTGCTCGTTCTTTTCCATAGGAATCTATAACTTGGAATGAACAAATCGATTCACTTTTAAATTTTTTGTTGACGTTCGTGACAATCACTATGATGAGTTGAAGTGCTTCATATGTCACATGTATTAAATAGTAACATGTATCTTGTTTCGGTTCTATACGCTTGACTAACAGTCGTTTTAATATCCGGACCACCCCGACTAGCCATACAGTATTCAGAAAAGATTGTATGGAGTTTTCTATATGGTTTTTAGAACAATAATGTTATTATAGTGTCGTAATTATGTTATTCTATAAATGATGATAATGATGATGATTCTATACATGATTACTATAAATCAATATGACTCAAAGGACCGCAGTTAATTTAAACTTCATTTGAAATATTTTAAAATTGCATGAGTTTAAATGTATGAACTTCTTAATTATAAAGATGTGGTGAATTGCAATGATTCACTATTGTTCAGTTATGATTTTTATTACATTCTATTGACCCAGTAACCATAGTTTGCGAATATTTTCTCTGTTGTAACATTGTGTGCTATTATCGTCTTTGTGAAAACTAGTTAAGAGTTATTTTTCTGTGTTACGAATTTTTTTTTAAATTATGTAAATGTGAAAATATTCCAATTATTATGGCATGGGAAATATTTTAATGGTATCAATATTGTTTATAGTCCTGTAATATACTATGTAATTATTATTAATGTTTTAATTATTATTAATCTATATTAAGATGTACTGGTACGAGATTCTTATTTCCAGGTTAAAAGTACTTACAGACCTTAAAAATCAAATAAAATTTATAATCAATGTTAAATCTCTGCGTCCGCCCATCGCCTGAAATGGCACAAGGCGGGCGGGCCGTTGGCTTCGGCTAGCCCGCGCCTCATACGGCGCGCGGGTTGTTACTCTAAAATACTGACTTAAAACCCTCTTATTAACCCTAAGATGTACCTTAGGGATGATAAGATGTATTTAAGACAATATGTTAGTGTGAAATATTGAAAGAAAGGCGGGGGCTGAGCGCGCGAGGGGGCCGGCGCGCTCGCCATGTATGGCGCGCGGCGTCTGCGCCGCTGCCCCTATAAAAGATTCCCCGACCGCTGTTCGCCGCACTCGCAGTCTCGCTGCCGTAGAGTCAACATCCACCGCGTCCCAAACCAAATACAAACGCCAAAATGTGCGACGACGATGTTGCTGCGCTTGTAGTCGACAATGGCTCCGGCATGTGCAAGGCCGGTTTCGCCGGCGACGACGCGCCCCGCGCCGTCTTCCCATCCATCGTAGGTCGCCCTCGTCACCAGGGTGTGATGGTTGGTATGGGTCAGAAGGACTCCTACGTAGGCGATGAGGCCCAGAGCAAGAGAGGTATCCTCACCCTGAAGTACCCCATCGAGCACGGTATCATCACCAACTGGGACGACATGGAGAAGATCTGGCACCACACCTTCTACAACGAGCTGCGCGTCGCCCCTGAGGAACACCCAGTCCTCCTGACTGAGGCTCCCCTCAACCCTAAGGCCAACAGGGAGAAGATGACCCAGATCATGTTTGAGACCTTCAACTCCCCCGCCATGTACGTCGCCATCCAGGCTGTGCTCTCTCTGTACGCCTCTGGTCGTACCACCGGTATCGTCCTGGACTCCGGTGATGGTGTCTCCCACACCGTCCCCATCTACGAAGGTTACGCCCTGCCCCACGCCATCCTCCGTCTGGACTTGGCTGGTCGCGACTTGACCGACTACCTCATGAAGATCCTCACCGAGAGGGGTTACTCTTTCACCACCACCGCTGAGAGGGAAATCGTTCGTGACATCAAGGAGAAGCTGTGCTATGTTGCCCTCGACTTCGAGCAGGAGATGGCCACCGCTGCCGCCTCCACCTCCCTCGAGAAGTCCTACGAACTTCCCGACGGTCAGGTCATCACCATCGGTAACGAGAGGTTCCGTTGCCCTGAAGCCCTCTTCCAGCCTTCCTTCTTGGGTATGGAATCCTGCGGTATCCACGAGACCGTGTACAACTCCATCATGAAGTGCGACGTTGACATCCGTAAGGACCTGTACGCCAACACTGTCATGTCCGGTGGTACCACCATGTACCCCGGTATCGCCGACAGGATGCAGAAGGAGATCACCGCCCTGGCTCCCTCCACCATCAAGATCAAGATCATCGCTCCCCCCGAAAGGAAGTACTCCGTATGGATCGGTGGATCCATCCTGGCTTCCCTGTCCACCTTCCAGCAGATGTGGATCTCCAAGGAGGAGTACGACGAGTCCGGCCCCGGCATCGTCCACCGCAAGTGCTTCTAAGCGTGCACGTGACCCTCGCGCATGCGCGGGGCTTCTGCGCCGCTGCTGCGTGACCCTAGTGCTGTGTATTGTGGTGCTCTCGTTCCGCAAGGAACTCTAGCATTTGTACGTTGTACGTAGTGATACCTGACAGAACTGAACATCTAAGATAACGCCATCTATTGTAATGTAATTTATTGTAAAATTTATATAAATTTAATTTTCTTTTTTTTATTTTTATTATATACACGGGATCGTTATGGATCTCACGCCAAATGTAATTAATAAATAAACGGTTAATTTATTTATTTTAATTACATTATTTCTTTTTATACAACCGTTGACTTTGGTTTTTGTTTGGAGTCCCCAACCCGCATTCCCCCTGCGGTGTAGTGTTTCATGCGACAGCTAAGTGAGTCAGTAGATCGCACCTGTCTATATGTGGGTCACACTCACTGCCAACATTCCGGCGATCAATCGCCGCCTACTTTACACTTTTCAAATTCATTGGAATGACAAGCAGGCATAGCTAACATACAAGAGTAGGTACACTTCCCCTAGAGAGAGCGGGGTTCGAATATAAAATTAGAAGCGGAGGTTACCACACGCGTCAGAATTAACCAGCGCGTGCACTACCATAAATAGTAAAGACAACTCCCGCGGCCAAAAGCATTTTCTAATTTTATCGTAATATCTTGGGGCGGCGCTGCCACGCCTGCCATTCGACTCTAGTCTTTAGTAGCTTACGATAAGCTAAATATTAGCATACACCACGTGTTTCCGTAAATATCGCGAGAGCTCGCTGGAGTAAAAGAAGCCATTGGTTCGGCATGTCTATTAATACAACAGACTCCCGGCGCGTTCAGTTTACATCTGTACCACGAATATTAGGCGCAATACGTCGATATGACGACAACTCTTGTTTACTGCTGTGTGATTAGGAACAAGTTATAAATAGTGTTCATTCGAAATTGTGTGAATGTGGCAGGAATCCAATTTGTTATCGTGTTACCGCTTCTGAGTTTTTCACTCGATAGGAATTTGAATTGTTGAGGGCTCTGACACTTGTGTTGTAATGCGGTTCATTCAAGTTCAAGACTTAAGATATTGAATGAGGATTAATTACTATCAGTTACGTAGGAACATAGGAGTAACGGGTTAGGTAACCTTTGTGTATCTTCCTCAAACTGTGTTTAATATCCACGTCTATTTCAGGAGCATCGGTGTATGCGACCGCCTTGTATCTCCCCTACTAACTTCGAAGCATAGAGTATTTTGGTCTTTCGGTACGTGGTGTTAGTCACTTTGCTTCTCTCACTAATTGTAATGTTTACACACTGCCACACCTTTTCTTTACTGACAATCATTGATTGATGCTTTAGCTCTTAGTTAATGATGTCATACCACATTTGATTCATGTTTATCGTCTTTACCTAACACGTGTTGCCATAACCCACAACATAAACTCAGATCTTTGGACCAATTAACCTCAGTAATCTTCAGATAGATCTATGGATAGTAGCATATTAGCTACCACTATCAACTGCTGTTTCAGTTTGTTTATTTTATTTGAATTTCGCTGTAAATACTCGTCTATAACCTAATCATTACTATTTAAAGTTTCTATCTAAATATATTTTAACTTTGTGACGGCATCAAAAGAATGTTTGGTTTTAGATTACAAATGATTTAGACTGCTTGATGACTTTCGAAAATGTGACATATGTTTTTTTTCTTTCTGTTGTATTTAGTGGTAGTGTGCTTTCGCAATCGAAATCTAATAATACTTTACTTTACTTAGAGTTTTAATCTAGGATTTTACATCGAGTCAAAACGATCTTTCGATCAACTGCTTAAACACTTGTAACCAGTGTCCAATCCCAGTTAATTTCTTCACGTCAATCGTTCCTTTGGCATTCAAACAATGTCTGTAAGCTCGTCGGACTACAAATATCTGGTGATTCAGCTTTGTTATCACAATGCAGTGACATCAGTAGTTTGGCAGCATACACTACTACTATAAAAGTCTCTGTCATCAACACAGAGATATTAGAATGTCACTAAGTATAAACACTATGTACTAACATGTGTTAATTGTTGGCTATGACTCATGAGGGATGCCACATAACATTATTCACTGTATGTATCGTGAACCTGATTGAAAAAGAGTAACCTATGAAGTTTTTTCTTTATAGGAATCTACACCTTGGAATGAGCAAATAGCTTCACTTTTAATTTGTTTGACGTTCAAAAATATCTTTTTGTTGTAATTGAAATAAGTGATTTTGACTTTTGACTTTAACTTTGACTTCACGCGTCGATCAGCTATGCAATCATAACTTTTTGTGTCATTTTTTCAGCTGCTAAGTGTGACTGAGACCGCAGATAAATAAAGTCGGGGCACATTTTAAGGCTGTTACTACGAATTTAGTGAAAACACACATACACATACAATGTAATTATCTTACATTTATCATCACCCCTGCTCTTCCCGCGGTTATCACTGGTCAGGAGCCGGAGCCACGCATTCACCGGCGACCACTCTGCATTATAAACCTTATTTCCGATGTTAAGAGACTACTTTTATATGAACGAACGTTGTAGATTTTTCATAATTAGACATTAAAAAGTTAAGAATCCGCTAGGGAACTGCATGTTTACCAGAATATTTAACAGAGACCGGATATCAGCATTCTTTGATGAATTCCGTGGGTAGAGACAATGATCTCTCTGTTTCTGGAGGAGTCCAATAGTCTAGCAGTAGATTTTCACTGGCAGTTGATGACGATGACTAAAGATAGCGAATTTTGAAGTATTTGAGCCAGTGCAAAATCGCATGATTGCATCGGGATTTTTATCTGTAATGTCAAATGTTCCCATTTACATCATCAGAACAATGTGTCGTTGTTAGCCACACGTTGATAGACGACGCCGTCGTTAGCCTGGTTCTACAATATTTAACAAACAATATAAAGTGTGCAATGCTGTGAGTAAAGCTGCCAACTATTTGTAGTCTTTCCAATAATCCCTCGCGTTGATTTATTTTGGTAAAAAATAATGAGGACACCTGAACATTTCTTTTATACATATGAAATTGTCTAATATAATGTATCTTCATAGAAACAGATTCAAAGGTTTTTAATGTTTACAAACACCTCCTTTTGAAGAAGCATAGTCGGAGCTTCTCATCATAGAAAACTGAAAGGTATGACGAATATGGTGGAATCATGGGTAATATTGAGGTTGATACAGTGTTTGCTAAAGATACAGAAATTAGGTTTCTTTATATACTTACGATATCTTGGACAAGAGCTAGTTGAATAAAAGTTAATCACGTTAAGGCATCGCGTAACATTAACATTTTACCAACTTAACATTTTTACCAGTTAATTTAATAGGCTAATAGGACAACCATATTGGTTTATATATCGGTTTAGATCGGTTAGGTAATATTATAAGCGTTAAAAAAATATTACGCATCTTCATCAAACCACACATACGAAAGCAGGTGGGAATGAGACAGGTGCATTTATTTTAAACTTATGACCTGAACTCATAAACAAAACGCCTTCATTGTTACGTAGTTCAGATACATCACATCGCAACAAAAATTGTCGTCAAATGCCAGTCGCTTGCCAAAGCTTTCATACCTTTTAAATTGCTCGATAGCTGTTGCAAAATAACCCTTATTCTCTACGGCTTAGAGTTAATAAATGACAGATGTTTAGGTTTATTTGATAAACATTATTAGAGTAGTTGACTCTTAATTATTTTTCGTATGTATGAGTGATCTTTTTAGCGATTCGTTGCAAACTATTTTATTATTTTCCTTGAAGTTGTGGATAAAAGAGAGGATTGTGTAAGTGTTGTAAAGAAGTACACGATATAGAAACTATGAAGGAAAACATCGTGAGGAAACCTGGACTTTATAATTTCTAATTATAAGTTTGAAATCGCCAACCCGCATTGAGCAAGCATGGCGATTATTAATGCTCAAACCTTCTCCGTGTGAGGCAGCAGTGGCCTTTCAATTATTGGCTATTAATGATGATGATGACATACTGTTATAAAATTCAAATACTGAACTAATCACTCCTAGAATCTTTATTACGTTTATATTCGCATATTGATAAAGTCAAAGTCAAAATTATTTAATTCAATTAGACCACAAAGGCACGTCAACAAAAAATTAAAAATGAAGCTGTTTGCTCATTCCAAGGTGTAAATTCCTATGGACAAGTACGAGCAAGACACTCTGACTTATAACGACGCGCAGCTGTGTAGCCCGTAGCGTATTGAGTTAAGCTCTGAGCATAACATAAATGACCTTGGGTACCGCATGTAGCAAAAAATTGTTTTGGTTCTTTTATGATGTGTATATTTTTTAATTTTCATTTACAATAACATTTCAAACTCAGATTACAGTAATTGTTATCGCTGTATAATGACTGGCTCATCCCTTTCTACCTTAGATTAACAACAACTTGATCTCATATTTTGTACAATATTTAGACTAAATATAAGTAAGTAGCCTATCGAAGAATGTGACTATGTTATCCGCATATTCAACACATGAATTATTCACGGAAAATTCAATTCAAAGTACAGTTTCGTATGTATACCCAAAAGGACCAAATTAGCCTGGACCTTTGGTCCTGTTATTGACAAATAAACAATGAAAGTTCATTAGTTAGTAAATTGTAATCGGATTGCCGTCGATGTACGCGTGTGGCGAGTGGAGGCGACCTAATTGAAATAGCTGCGCGTTTAATATTCAGCTCTCTCTTGCATAGCGCAGGAGTTGGGGTCATATTTAGAAATAGATAACTCAGTGTTTACATTTTACATTGATCTCTTAGTGAAGGCTTAGTGCTATAATTGAGAACTTTGCTGATTCTTTACTTGACCTTGTCATAAATCAAATTAGATTGCTTTAAAAAATATCATCGTCTAGAAATCTAATGCTGAACAAAATCCACGTTCTTAGTTTGTTAACGTTGAATCTGATCGTCTGCAAAAAT